AGTAGAGCACACTGTGCTGTTACAGATAGGCCTTATCACACCTTCAACTTACACCACAAGGGGCACAACTAAAAAAGACAGTGTGCAAATGTGTATGTGTGTGTGTGTGTGTCTGAGAGTGTGTCCAGGTAGAACTAGAGCTGAGCCAGCCAGACTGGACCATAAAGTGCAGAAGAGCAATGCAGCAAATCATACAGTCTCCACTTCCTCTAATAAACGGAAAGCCTGTATATCTGAATGTGCAGACGTGTGTATTTTCCCTCAGGGAGCTCCTCGGGCTGCTGGATTACCCGTCACACTTAATTAAGCACTTGTCTTGAGATTAAACATCCTCATACCTCAGATGCCTTTAGGACAAAAAGACACTGCACCTTTCAGAATCTGCTGCACCTCATAATCCAGATTACCAGTCAAACTGCCTTCATCAGAGCAGGCATCAGGCCAGTGGCTCAGTGCAGGATCTTGGATCAAATAATGTTAAGTGGCCTCCGTCTGTACGTCCCTGTGGTATTCCCCACGCTTCTTAATCCCTGTCTTAACCGTAATCTGTTGTTGAGCTCAGCCTGTCTGCTGGAGGGACTGTTGCCAGCCAGCCTTCCTGGATCTGAGCCATCACAGCCAAACCACAAATTTAATCAAACTAAATGGTTCACAACCTCAGCCCCATCAATCTGATCTCCCTGTACCACTAGAGGCTGTGTTGGAGACTGAAAGAGACAAATATAGATAGTGGACAACTATAATGAGACAATAGGGAGGGGAAATCAGTCCCAACGTTGCTGAAATGCACCTCCGGCTAAACATAAACAAGGAAAAAGTCATTCATATGACTCTGACTCGAGTTTTAGCATTAATGCCGAAAATAAACAACGTAAGCCTACGGTGACCATATTACACTTACACACCTGTTCATTATTCTTCCAATCAATCCAGACTTGACACAGGTGATGAGCAAGATTCCTTTCCTCAACATTCAGCACACATCGACATGGTTTTGTTCTGTGCTTTGCGGTTTCTAATGAGGGATTGGTTGTCCTATGCTATAAAATCTACACACCCGCTAGTTTTGTTTAGGTGGAGAGAACAGAAAATTAGAGCTTTGCTGTTCTGTTTCGCAAAAATCAATCAATTAAATGTAGTCTGACAAGGCCAAAATGACACACACTGGGTTCTCCTTCTTCTTTAGAAAATTTACATTTGGTTTTGGCTAACAGTGATGAGAGACTTGAGATTCTAAAACAACCACAGCCTTGAAGAGCTTGTAAAAAGTAGAACTGACAGTAAATAGGTTTGACTCTTAATAAAAGTAGGTGTTTTCACTTCAACGGTATTTAATAAACCCAGTTTTAGTGTTTAGACTGCATTAATTGTATTTTAAAACACTGTGAATGTAATGCAAACTAGTTTGGTGTTTATGCATTTCATTTATTTCCTTTTTAGCTTAGTCCCTTTATTAATCAGGGGTTGTAAGAGCCAGTTTAATGTCAATAATTCCTGCCAAATTTATGTTTCATATTCATATATGGCAAAATTATTTCTGATTCTTTATTATGTATAATTTGTGTGATGTTTCTTTAATGCTTGCATTGCCTTCTCGCGAGAAGTGCAGTGAAGTGTTAGCGCAGGTATTGGAGAAACAGTTTTATAACCGTCTGCTGTCAGCTAAAAATATATGTTTCTTTTGTGTGTCTAAATGCTTTAGGGGACACATTTAAAGATTTAAAGAAGGTGCAGGATGTAAGAATCATTTGGATTTTTGTGCTTTCATTTAAAATAAACATGCATTGATTTACGGATTGTCTGACATTGTGACGAGTAAAAACTCTACGTTCCTGCCAAGCCAAGAAAGATATAGTTTGCAGCTATAGGGGGCACCACAACGAAAAGAAGCGCCAACTTATCCAGCATATGTTTTATGCAGCGGATCCCCTACCAGCCGCAACCCGGCTTTGGGAAACACCCATACACTCTTGCATTCACACCCACACATACACTATGGCTAATTTAGCTTATTCAGTTCACCTGTAGTGCATGTTTTTGAACTGTGGGAGAAACCAGAGCACTTAGAGAAAACCCACTTGAACATGGGGGAACATGCAAACTCCACATTGTGACCCACCCAGCCGTGGCTCGAACCAGCAACCTATTTGCTGTGAGGGTGTTATTTAAACATCACCATGTCGCCTTTTTTGGTGTTTAAATAATTGTATTTTATTTGAGTGAGCGAGTGCAAGTAAACTCCTTTTAAAGTGGACTGCTTGACTAAAATTTAGGTGGGTGAGTTCCTTAAAGTTCCATTTCGGAAAATTTATGGTGTAATGAATTACTTTTAAAATTATGGCTAAACATCTTTTAGTTCACCCATCAACAGAAAGAAACAAAAAATCTAATATATATATATTTAAAAAAAGATCAACAAAACCATAAAAAAGAAGAAAAGCATTTTTTTAAAGAGAAATATCAACACAATTTTTTTTCTAATGAACCATAAGCAGATATTTTGAAATATATTGTTTTGCATTCTAGAAAAGTCATATGACGAATTATGTTTTAATTGTACCACTGCTGGACATCCTTCAAATGGTGCCTGTGTCAGACTGCAGAACAAAGCAGCAGTGGTAAGAAGGTCTCAGCAATCGTGGCTTATTCTCTCTCTCTCTCTCTCTCTCTCTCTCTCTCTCTCTCTCTCTCATACTAAAGACTGGTCTCCACCACTGCAGGATGGCTGCGTCAGCTCTGCCCTCCCATGAAGTGAGCTTCACTGTCTCATACATGCTTTCCATCATGCTTTATCAATCAGGCAATCTCGGGGTTTAGAGATGCTTGTTAATCTCAATAACTTGCAGTCTGCTGCTGCAACATCCCAAATTCAAGTCTTCTCCTGAGAACTGACCGTTCTTGCTGTAATCTCTTTGCAGTCCTCATGATCTCACATATTTATTTACTCAATTTTCCTTTCAGATGAAATCAAATGTAACTCATTTATAAGCAAAGAAGTCAATCGGTATGCAGCTGCATGGCGTGATGGTCATTTTAAATAAACTAAAGTGCATATAAAGTGTGTACTCACTTGAGTAAAAACGGATGGATTTTGGCTTATATTGAAACTTTTATCCACGAGAGAGGATGACAATCTATCTGTTCAGGATATGCTTTGAGTGAAACGATATTGATTTTGGAGATGGCGAGATTAGATGAGATACATCCGACGTAAACACATCTTTTTAATAATGTTATCTCTGCTCTGCTATCTTATGTAATGCTGCCAAACCTGAGACTGTACACACGCGCTATAACCACCGCCATGTCGCATATCGTTGCCATCTCTAACGTATTCGCAAATTTCACCCCATTAATCACTGACTGACATTCCTAATTGTTCGCGCAAGTGATGCAACACGCAACCATCTGGCAAACTAACGCACAATCGACATATTAAAGGATCAAATAAAGACTTTGCCAAAGCAGGTTCTGCATTTGTAGTTGTGGAGGGCTTTCCTGAATAAGCCATTACAAAGAAGTCTGCACGCTGCAGCGGCGCGCCATTCAAGCATCCCCTGCTGTCAAAAGTGTCTGAAGCGCGCGCTAGAAGGAACGCGTTGTTCAGCGCGGAAGGAACAAGACCATGCAAACGTACATTTCATTTATGGCTCGTCATAACATCAAACAACTTTTTTTCCCATTTAATAATTGTTGGTAATTAGTATTTTAAGTGAAAAGTTCCCATATATATGCATATGTATAGGATAAACACTGCTGTTTTAATGTTATTAAATCTGCACCAAATAAGTGCGCATCAAGTATCTTGCATGTAGGGTTAGGGTTGCATGTATTTCTCAGTATACACTGAAAGGAACACGAAAACCACAATTATTAATAAAAAAAAACTAAACAACAACACTAGAAAATGTCATATATGACAAATAACATGTAAATCAGAGAGGGAATGGATTAAAAGAGCTGTTTCCACTATTTACGGTTATACTAAATCCCGCATTTCAGAAATCCCTAGGTAATAGCGCACTCTTGCCTTGTTCCAAATCTCTAATCGCTCTTCATTAGTTATTCATGAAAATTACCCCTCTCAGAGTGCGCTGGAGCAAATGTCAGACATGTCGCCTCAGATCACTGGGAAGCCATTCAAAAGGCGAATTAAAGCACAGTTTTAGAGAGACGCTAAGTTTGACACAACATAAAAAACTAGTAGATTAAATCCGTTCTAGTTTCTATGGAAACATGTCCGACCGCGGCTGCGCTCTCCCTTTATTCCTGAATAACTTGATTCCTGATTCCAAGGGCATCTTTGCGCCTGGCGCTGCCGGGGTTATTTATAAAACCGCCAATAAGAGAGGTGTTCCTAAAACCTTGGATACAAGCGGAGTCACAAGTTTGCTCGAGATTATTTGGAACTTGATGTCTTCTGGATTAGCGCTTCTGATTTAAATAAAGTCTGAATTGGTAAAAGCCGGTTGGTCGCTAGATAGATGATTTTGAATAGGTTTGCTATTGATAAGACAAATACAGATTGTTAGTGCTGATTTGTGAGCAAACGTAAAAAACTGGCGTGAGAAATGCTGATAATATAAAATTGCAAATGGGACTGCTTGTCATCAGCCTTTATATTGTGGCATATTTGAGAGGCATAGGGTCAGATTTGATTGATCTAAGTTCACTCACAATAATCAATATCATGTTAGCACAACGGGGTTACCTCTCACTATCCGGATGGTTTGATTAAATCACACGGAACAGGCTAAGCTGCATGAGAGACATACTGTTTTACCTTGTTCAATAAAATCCAGCACGTGCGCCTTTGAGATATACATGATGATCACTTGACTTGTGTTAATGTTTAAAATGTTTGTGTTTTCCTGGTCAAAATGAAACTTTGTTGCCCGAGTGAAACATTAAACAATACAAATGATGACTTGCGCTGTTCTGCTATCATAAGCCGGTTAGTAAAACGACCGGCTTTTACACCAAAATAATGCTCGTCTTACCTGCTACGGTGTATCTGTCCATGTAATTGAGCACATTTCCAAAACTCAGAATCCCGGCGGCTACAAGCGGAGTCCGGCATCGGAGTAATGCGGCATGGAATTTCTGCCCAGGTCTGCAGTGATGCAGATCTCTGGATTTAAGAGCCGGACTCATGCTTCCAGACAGCGTGTGCACCTCATCCGAACTGCTGCACCCCTCGATTTCACATCCATCGCTCTCCACACACATCTTCTGGCAAGAAAGATCCAGCGCAAACGATTGAACGATTTTGTTTTCCAAAACGACGGTTAAGGTGGAAAAATTGTGTTGAACCTATTAGCGGAAAACGGAAAAAACTAAGTGTTAATCGCGGAGAATAAAAAGCTTTGATTTGATTATTGCTCGCTGAGCTCGGTTCATGTCTGTACATTGACAGCATTGAGCGCTCGGTCTGCGCTCCTCTGTGGAGTGTAGTGGAGGGAGGCGTGCTCTCCAAGCCACGCCCATTCAATTCTGCGAGTCTAGGAGTGTGTGCGCGGAATGATCATGAGAAGAGAAGAATGTCACCGAAATTGTTAGCTCGTGCGAAGTTTCATTGTTTTGTATTTTGTTTGTACTGTAATGGATTCGTCAAGAGAAATGACGTGTGGAAAGGTGTCAATGAAATGAATGCGCGAGAGAGGAAACACCTCAAAAACAGCATTCTGAAATGACTCACTCTAATAGCTCAAAACTAAGAAAATGTCTTAAAATAAAACCCAAATGAAAACGCAAAGAGAAGTTTTCCCCAAAACACTCTGGCACAGAAACAAATATAGGCTAATGATGAGAATGTAAACAGGGGTTAATAGTTTATTGAGGTAACGTTAGGGATAAGCTTTAAAATAGCATATAGTATGGGGACTTTGTCACCGGAATGGATGTAGCCTATAAAAAAGTTTATTAAACAGTTAAGATATACATACAAGCGAAAAAAATAATAAAAGCACTGATCTATTGTAGTAAAAACTTAGGCTACATTTCACCTGTCGCCAAATAGAGGAATGTTGTCCGCCTAAGGAATGTAACCATGGCAACATGACGTCGCTCGCGGACTACCGGTTGTGTCATCATCAAACAATAGGCTACATGGTTATTTTGTTACTAAATTGCGAATTTCTATCATGCATACAACGATTGTTGTGTAAAAGACTATAATTTATGGCTTTATATCTCGGATGTGTAAATTAGGCTATAATACTAATTGATGCTGACATGAATATGACATATAAAACAGACTAGGCGTTTAAACAACAATACAATATATAGCCAATATAGTAACCAAGAAAGAACATAGGCTATTTGCAATAATAAACTTCTGAAATGTGAATTTCACACGTACAGTTAAGTAGCCTATATGAAATCTTATAGCGTTTGATTACAGTATGCTATTTTTAACACTCTGTAGCCTATGTCAGTGTTTTTAATAGAAAGGTGTGCATGCTCTAAAACAGCTGGACTAAAGTAGCATCTAACTCACCTCATGTGAACGCGTTATGTGGTCTTCAGCACTCTGGACAGCTCATTATCACATCTAAAACCATTCAACATATTTAAATATAATTAAAAAAAATTGTATTGAAACAGTCACTATATCAGTGCATTTACTAATATTCAATAAATGTAGCAAGCCTAGCCGATAACGAGTAATTCACAGACATCTTCTTCTTATGATAGTGAGATTTAATAAGATACCAGAAAAAAAAAACACTTTACTAGTGGGCTAATCGCTTTATGTGTGGGATTAATTAATTAAGGATTATTAAACACTTTTCGAATCGTCGTCTTGCCCGCTTTTGACCGAAACCCATCAATTAGCGAAGATTAGATCAAATCACGTCATTAAGGACATCTTAGTTTTCCTCCTCTTTTTGTAAATGAGGTAATCGCTTTGATCTGACAGCGCGAAATTCGTAACGCCGCGACGCTCTGGATGACTGCAAACATGTCTAACCCCTGTTTTAATGTTTATCTGTGCAATTAAGGGCAGTTTTCCCTAGACTCTGAGAGTATCCTTCTGGAAATGTCAAAACTGGGGGGGATTTTAGTTAAGATTTATCTCGAGCGCAAAGAGTCCTGTAGGAAGTGCGCCGGTCATTCTCACGAGAGAAGGCTGAAGGATGCTAGAGAAATTATTGTCGGAAGTTATTTGTTTGTTATTTTTCTTTTCATCTTAATCCCCAGAGGACATGCTTGTCAGAACACATCAGACTATCAGAGGATATAAAATGCTGCTTTTTTGAGGGCTTTTCAACATGATTATAACAGGGTTACTTCAGCAGTATGAGGTAAATAATCTTTTCATTTTATAATGTATTAATTCATTTGAAAAAAAAAAAAATTCCGTTTCATTGACTTGCAGATGTTAATATATATTCATTCATTCACTCACTCATTCATTCATTTTCTTTTCGGCTTAGTCCCCTTATTATCCGTGGTCGCGACAGCGGAATGAACCGCCAACTTATCCAGGATATGTTTAATTCATTGGATGCCCTTCCAGCTGCAACGCATCACTGGGAAACATCCATACACTCATTCACACCCACTCTCATACAGTACAGTCAATTTTAGCATAGCCAATTCACCTATACCACGTATTTGGACTATTGGGGGAAACCGGAGCACCCAGAAGTAACCCACGAGAACACGGGGAGAACATGCAAACTCCACACAGAAATGCCAACTGACCCAGCCGAGGCTCGAAACAGCAGGGCGAACATGCTACCCATTGCGCCAACACGTCAACCATATACATAATATTTAAACAAATAATAGTTATTTTGAGTAATAATATATATATATATATATATATATATATATATATATATAGGGCTCAGCATATATGAGTACACCCTCTCAAATCTCTCCTTTAATTCAATATTTTCTATAGGAAGCTATACAATAATATATTTGTGCATATACATTAGATTAGTCAATACTGAAGCCAAATCTGGAGCTTACCTAACAAAATAACTTACGATAATTGTTCAAAAATTAGTTGCCCAAATTTAAATGTTAAGGAAAATATCAAATAAAATATTTAAAAATAGCAAAAATCAAGAAAAAAATACAATTTAGTAAAAATATTGTAGTTAAATGTAGTTAAAAAATATTATTTTAATAAATATATCTGTTTAATAAATTTGTTTTGGTTCATTGGCTCTGTTGGAGTCAAAATAACATCAATTGAGGACTTGTATCCACAATGTTATCTGTCTAGGGCAAATAGCATTTTAAGGGATCCAACTTACCCTGGCCCATAGTCTGCTCACACTCATGCCATCAGGCAGGCGATACAGAAACCTGCAGGAGCAAATCAGTGCGGTATTGTGATAGTTTTTATCCGGTCATTATAATACTTTTGAATAATAACCTATTTTTGATAGCTACAGTAGTAAGAAATAATAAATCAACAAATAGTAGCACACTTTATTTTAATCATACCTATTATAACAAGCTGTGCAATAGTTTTTAAGTAATTATTTATTCCCTTCTGTGATTTTTTTGGGATGTTTTTTAAATGTTTTTCTGTGATCTATTTGATGTTTTTTATGTTCTTTTTGGGTCTGATGCATTGTAATTTTGTTCTGCATTACAATTTATTGTGATGTTTTGAATGACGAGAATACAGAACACTGAAACAGAATATTGTTTTATTCATATTCACTGAGAAATGGAAAAAATATTCATTTTCAAAATGGGGTGTACACATTATGACAAGCACTACGTATATGTTTCTCTGACTTTCTGTTCTTAAAATAATAATTCAACCAAAAATAAATAAATAAAATTGGCAGGTTGTTTACATCTCAGTGCATGCAGAGAAGAGGCTAGTGCATTTTTTTTCATTGATGACTAGGCCCACATGGAATCTGTATGCACAGAATTGTGTGTACATTAATATTTATTCAGTTTTTAAATGAATTTCATTAATATTATAGACTAATATAAAAATGTTTGTATGATTTATGCACAATTCACTTTGTAAAGTAACATTTTTCTGTCTTTTAGTAGTTCTATTATGTGAGAGACTTTGTGAGCATGTGAGTAATTCGATTTGCATTGTAAATATTAAATATAAGTTAAAACATATATTTTTTATTTCATATATTAAAGAGCCCATATTATGGGTTTTTGAAAATTCCCCTCCATGTAGTGTGTAACACAGCTCTAAGTGAAGTGAAGTATCCAGCTAAGGCTTAAATCTGTAAGAATACAGTGTTTAAAACGGTTGATTCATCTATAAAAGAGTCAACTCATAGTGCTTCAAACGAGTCGCCTTGATACCGACTCATTAGGTGTTTCGCCATGACGTACGAACGAAACCAAGTTATTCACGTGCACGCGCAAACCCGGGAGATTTCAAACCTGAGGCCCCGCCCTCTGACGCAGTAACCCAGACACACACACACCCACAAACACACGCACACCCACAAACACACGCACACAAACATGCCGGTCGATTGAAGTAACACTGCAGATGGACATTATATTGAGTCTCTACCCAAAGATGAAACATCAGCATTATAACCAAGCAGTTGGAAACTTCTGGAAGCTACATGCTACAAAGAATACTTCATCTGAGTTTGTTAAAGAAAGGATCAGTAAAGAGTAACTGATGGACGTCAAAATGTGTTTCTTCCATTTCTCAAGTGTAAGTACGTGCGGTTAAAGTTGTTGCCTCGTTGACTCCAGCTTGCAAATGTATTTAGTTGTGATTTGTTACTTGTAACCGCGTGTACTGTATCAGGTTAACTGGATATATTCTCTTATCGCGTGCAAAGTCACGTTAAAAACGCGAAGCGTGCTGTTTGTTTATGGAGCTCCGTGCTAGAGTTCTGCTCCCGCGATTTATTCGGAAATTTATTCCCGCGCCGCAGAAATCTGGCGCGGGGACAGCCGCGGGAATAAATTTCCGAATAAATCGCGGGAGCAGTCGGTAACGGGTTTAATTTGGGACGGGAGCGGGCTGTCTAGCAATATCACGGATATTGCTATGCGAATTAGAAAGAGAGAGTCTGCGTGGTGCTTGTGTGTGTGTTAGTGCGCACGCGCGCGTATGAGAGAGAGCGAGAGAGAGAGAGAGAGAGAGAGAGAGAGAGAGAGAGAGAGCGAACGAACGAACGAACGAACGAGCTTTGTGTGCTTTGTGCTGTGTGTGTGTGTTTATACAGACAGCTTGGCTGTCTGGACTGTATACTGGGTGA